GAGTAACTTCAAGTTCTTGAGATCCTATTGTATTTTTTTTCTTGTACTTTATTTGAAGTTGTTATATTGTAAAGGACTTCTTATGAGTGATCTAGACTATGAAGAAAAGAAAAGAATTGAAAAGATTATTATTATGCACTCTGGCTAGATCACATATGTCCTTCTTTCATTGGTATCAAAGTTATTGATACTTGTTGCCATTAGTTGTTTTTTTTTATTTTATTTGAGTCAAGATATAGCTTAGAATGAGATATAAAAAAGCTAATGACCTTTGTGACCTAGTAATAGTTTATAATTATTGGAATATTCAAACATCAAGAAAGGCACTCTGTATAATGGGTATTCTGTGCTAATTTAGAGAACTGATATGAAGAAGATAATAATTTATTTTTCTATTGCATGCTTTAATAATATTATGTGTTTTTTAGATTTGAGATCCTAAGTAAATTGAATTGAGAGTTATGGATTCATCAATGAAGGGTACCAATTTTGACCTGACAAAATCAAGGAACTGTCCACTGAGTACCGTGAATTTTTCGACTAATCATATGATTTTATTTTTCGCTAAAATTTAACTATAACTCAATAAATTGAGTTTAATTTCAAAAAAAAAATAGCTTTATCAAGAAATTTCTTGTGGTTTGAATGATATGGTCAATTTATTGAATTGTGCATAAGTGTTTTTTTCTGCAACAAAAACAATTTCAATGACTTCGAAGTCATGATTTTATTTTCATTCTTAAAATAATGTTTTGTAGCCTACACTAAGTTTTTAGACTTTTATTTTGAGTCTAGCTTCTAATAAAATATTTGAGAAGAAAATATCTATGGAAAAAGAAGAATAAAAAGTTTTGATTGAAGAGAGGTTGTCCTAAATTTTCTGTAAGACATGAATAGCTATATTTATCAAGTCTACTCAGCAGAGTAATATGAGGCTTGTAGAACGATATGTGTTATCATTATGTGTCTACTTTTAAACAAAATTGGTTTGAAAATGAAACTCCATGACGGTAGAGAGAAAACAATTTTACTAAACAGTATTCATCCTGGAATTCTACATTATAATTTTATTTTATGACGTGAATGTCACTTATTTATTTCTCTAAAGAAAGTAATATTTGGGATTCACACCATGATGTTATTCTTTGGTTTTGAGTCTAATTTTCAACAGAAAAAATTCAGGAAGAAATCCTTTGTGAATTGAGAGAAAATATTATTTCATTGAGATGTGCGCAACCTGATTTTCTGCTGAAAAAATTGCATGTGACGTGAATGTCACTAAATTGTGACCCACTAAATGGTGTGATTTAGGGATTGAGCTATGCACTATTTTCTATTTCTTAATCTATTTTAATACTCAAAAGGAATCAGAGATAAACTCTTTATGAGTTGAGAGACATCATATTTTTATCATGGGCTGCAGTAAATTAAAAGATGTGGCATATTAAGGCACATATTTGGACTCCTCATAATAGAGATTAGGGCTCATTTAAAAGTTTTATAGTATGACATGAGTATAGTTTATAATAGTAAAACCTTCAGAGAGAGGTAACACAAAATTGGCAAGATATGACACTCTATATGAATAGTGTTCGATCAGGGAATAGCAGACAGAACAAAAAACACAATACCTATAAAAGCATATTGGTTTCTTCGAAATGAAGGGAAATAGAGATAGACTTAGTGGTAGCATAGAAATGCTAAAGGTCAGTGGTAGAATCAAATTTATGAATATTTGAAATGATGGGATGAAGAAGAGTATTTCTTCACGGTGTGAAAAAGGGAGAATGCAAGTTCCAAAGAGATTGACACTTCGTAACATGTGAAACCGATGACCAATATATTATCTATTAGTTGCGTACTCTTTCAAGATCACAAAACATGTCAACAAGTAAAAGCAAATAATCAAGAAAGCCCAAGTACCATACTACAATGTTTTGAGGCATGAAATTTATCCCACATTATATGGTAAGGTCATATAGGGAAAGATGATTTAGTAACCTTTTATTTTATGTTTTATATACTTTTTTTGTTATATCTTGGCTATTTTTTTTATGAATATGTATGGAGTGTATGGATATTAAGTGATAGGTGCTAACAAATTTAAAGAGTCGGTTTTGAAATACCCTGTATTTTTCTGCCTCCTTGTGCTTGAGTATGAACTACTTAAGGTAGTGTGGTTTGATCATGGGCTTTAAGCCTAAGTATGAAACACATGAGATGGGTTTGGCTCTTCAAATATGTGAGTATGAAGGGAATGATCTGATGGAAATCGGTCTTAGTGACTATCCCTCAATAATTTCTAGTAATGTGATGTGTTGCACGTGATGATGCTTCTTAATAAAGTCTCCATATTTTCCAAAATGAAGTATTTTGTCGAGATTTGGATAACTACTCTTTATTCGTGCTTTATTTTGGGTAAAATTGTAATATGGACTTTATGACTTGTTTTTGTAGATGTGAACATGACTTGGTAGGTAATATGGTAAAATGATTTTTGAAAACTAAGTATGTATTTTAAAATTAAATTGGATGATTTGAGAAAAACCTAAGTTTATGAATATGGTTTTGAAAAAACCCCATAGTTTTGCTAGATCCACTACGTCTTTGTAGAAAATCATTCTAAACTATCATACTGTTATCTACCTATTGCTTGTGAATGTAAAGATACCAAGTCTATAGTTTTTTTTTAAAAGGAGAAAAGCAATGTGTCTTGGCTGCCTAGTTCTATGTCATCGTAAATAGCAATGCTTATTGGGCTGGGTTGAGCCTTTAACAGGCCGGCACGAAAAAGGCCCGAAAATTTGCCCAACGGGCTTGCTTGCCCCAATAGCCCGAAAATATCTCAGGCTGGCCCGACCCATTTAGCATGCCATTTTATTGTATTTTTCCAATCTTCAGTCTCCAAACTTTTTTTCCAATCTTCAACCAAAAAAATTAATACATGCTAAAATATGTTTTAGAAAATTTAAAACCCATTCACTCTCTCTAGAAATCCAATCTCTTTCTCTATAAAACCCATTAGAAACAATATATCTCTCTATCTAAAAACCCAATCTCTCTCTAGAAACACTATCCCTTTTTTCTCTAAAAACCCAATCTCTCTCTAGAAACTCAATATCTCTTTCTCTCTATAAAAACTCATTCTCTCTTTCTCTCTCTAAAACCCTATTCTCTCTATCTAGAAACTCAATCTCTCTCTAAAACTCCTTCTCTCTTTAGAAACCCAATATCTCTTTTAGGGGTGGCAATAGACTCAGGACCCGCCTCGGGACCCGCCGGATATACCCAACAAGGGTCCAGCATTTGGACCTTGCAAGTATGGTCTAGGTCACATCTATGGATCCGAAATAGGCATGGGTCGAGTACGGGTTCCGGTGAACCCAACTCAAATTTGTAATAAAAATATATATATTAGTTTTATATTTACTATAATGTCAAGGGTTTAAAATGTAATTATTTCTTTATGGGTGCATATAGAGATTTTGATCGAAAAAATTAGTAATTTTGTATTTACTATAATGTCAGAGCTATAAAATGAAAATGCTTTTTTTATGGGTGCATAATAGGATTTTGCCAAAAAAAAAAGAAAACCTTTTATTTTGGTTCTCCCCTTCCTATAACATAATCTCACACTTGGAGCTCATAATTTATTTTTGTGCTGAATTTATTGTGCTCTTGTAAGAAATTACTATTGATCAGTATTTGGTTTCTAGATTGTGATTTCTTTATTTAGTGTCATCAATATTTTTTTCATCTCTATGAGAATGCTAAATTAAATTAACGGGGTTAGGGCTCATAATTTGTTTTGGTGCTGAATTTTTAGTGTTATTGTTTGAAATTACTGATATCAATATGTGATTTCTAGATTGTGATTTATTTATTTAATGTTACCAGTATTTTGTTCATCTTCGTGTTATGTTTTATGAGAAAATTGAATTAAATTCATAGGGTTAGGGCTCTTAATTTATTTTGATGCAGAATTTATAGTGTTATTGCAAGAAAATCATAAGATTCAACTTTAACATTTTTAATTTTATGATGGATGGATATTTCTTAGTCCCACTCTACTTGGAATCATGTGATTTGTGAATAGCCACAAATGTGTGGTACATTGTTTTCTATGCCTTTATTATTTCTGGTCAATAATGGGGTATTGCATTTCATTACATTCTTATTTTCACTTGTGTTGTCTTGCCTAAGCAATCACATTGCAAAATTGAGAATGACACACTTATTTGTGTGTCAAAGCTTATATTTCTCTCTCATTTCTATTATATTTTTTATGATATTTTATTCTTGGTGAAGCTCTTCAAATTTCCTAAAGAAGCCCTAAATTTAATTTTAATATTCTTGCTCAAATCCGTGCATTTTCATTGTTTAATCGAGGGACCTGTGTAGAGCTTGTAAAATCTGTTGTCTTTGAAATGCCTCTTTCATTTCTTACTTTTATTTATTTATTTATTGTTGTTGAAGATCTTCAAATCCTCTACAAAAATGCTAAATCGATCTTTTTTATTTCCACTTTTTACTCTTTCTCTAGATTGTAATTTCTTTATTTACTGTGATTAGTATTTTATTCTTCTCTATGTTATGTTTTCTGAGAATATTGAATTATATTCATAGGGTTAGGGCTAATAATTTATTTTGGTACCGAATTTATTGTGTTCTTGTAAAAAAATTTTGTTCTCAGTATTTGTTTTCTAGATTGTGATTTCTTTATTTAGTGTGATCAGTATTTTTTTCATCTCTGTGTTATGTTTTCTGATAATGCTGAATTAAATTAACAAGGTTAGGGCTCATAATTTATTTTCGTGCTGGATTTATAGTGTTATTGCAAGAAATTATTGCTATCCATATGTGATTTCTAGATTGTGATTTATTTATCTAGTATTATCAGTATTTTGTTCATTTTTGTGTTATGTTTTATGAGAATATTGAATTAAATTCATAGGGTTAGGGCTCTTAATTTATTTTGATCCTGAATTTATAATGTTATTTCAAGAAATTCATAAGATTCAACTTTCACATTTTTAGTTTTATGATAAATGGATATTTCTTATTCCCACTCGACTTGGTATCAAGTGATTTGTGAATAGCTTTTATTAATTTCTCGTTAATAATGGGGCACTACTTTTCATTACATGCTTATTGTCACGTGTGTTGTCATGCTTATGCAATCACATTGCAAAATTGAGAATGTCACATTTATCTGTGTTGCCATAATTCCATTTTCTTGTAGTATGGTTAATAACCTCTTGGATAACAAACTTTGAAAAATAACTATGCTACAAGAGTTTCTTTGAGAGTGTCCCCTTGTTCTTTGTTGTTGATAAAATGCTACAGGAGTTTCTCAATGCCTCTGGTGTGGGAGTTTTTTTTCCCTGAGTAGATAACTATGGGAATATTATTTTTTATATTTACTTTTTATTGTTGGGTTTGTTTAGTTTTCCTTCGCTCCAATTATAAATGTTGTAGCTACGATACTCTTTTTGTTACCTTTCTATTTTTGATGAATAATGCTTATGGGTTCATGAAATCTAAATATAATTGGATGAATGTAATTGTATAGTCCATAATAATCGGTAATTGTATAAAATATATTGGAGTATAGTCCATGATGACATGTGCAATGGATGTGTGGTGTTCAATGATTATATATAATATAATAGATCTGTTGTTTTCCTATAATAGGATAGACCCACACACTTCATCAAGCATGGGCCATGAGAATATTGGAGGCAAGAGAAACCTCCAATGGACACAACCAGAAGAGGACTTGTTCATTCAACTTATGGAGACCGAGATTAGGGCTACGGGGCAGGGGGGAGATTTGAAAAAAGGTGCATGGAAACGTATGGTAGACTCCATAACAATGCAATATGGGTCAATAAACACCTTAAGTAGGCTAAAAAGTAAGCATAAGTTCCTTAGAAAATTGTACTTTGATATCAAAAAACTTGTCTGTATCGGGTTTCGGATAGGATGAGAGTAGGAGGATAGTAACCACGGAGGTTGTTGTTTGGAATGACTTTCTAACAGTATGTACTTACTCAATTGCATAGTCTTTTAAAATATTGACTAGGTTTAAATACGAATATTGCTAAAATTAATTTATGGTCTTCTATATGCAGGAGAATGAATGGGCAAATAAATATCATAGCAAAACTTTGCTCGAGTATTCACTGCTAAATAAGATCTACAAGGGTGGCACGGCATATGGAACTTACAAATCTATTGGGGGTGGCATTAGAATTGAGCCAGAAAGTCCCAACACTTCAATCTCAAATGACCTCCCATTAAAAGTCCAGGATGAATCTAGCTCATCCACATCAAAAAGAAAACAGTCTCAAACTCCAATAGGAACACATCGCCAAAAAAAGCAACCCTCCATCGCCGAGTCCATGTCTTTAGCCATGACAGAGATGACCCAAAGCATTAAGATGCTGGCATGTGACACCGTAAATAACAGTAATACTCCTGTGGTGGATGGTCCATCCAAGGCTAGGAGAGATGCTTGTAAGATTGTTGAAAGCATGTGGAAAGTAGGTGAAGTTGGCGATGATGCCCTTCTATCGACGGAAAGGATCTTCCAAGATTCTACAAAGGCGGAGATGTGACTAAACTTGGGGGATCCAAGGATACACTTGGGGGATCCAAGGATACAAAGGGCTTACTTAGATGAAAAGATGAAACACTTTCGATAGATACCTGATTGACTATGTTTAAGTGTAACATTAAAGATGACTATGTTTAATTTTAACATCAAATACTACTTCTTTCATTTCTATGTGGATGGTTTATGTTATTTTAATGTCCAATATTGCTTAATGTTTGCTTTGTGGATTATAGCTTCTTTCATTTCTATGATGATTTGCTCTGTGGATGATGGCTTCTTTCATTTCTATGATGGTTTGCTTTGTGGATGATGGCTTCTTTCATTTCTATAATGGTTTGCTTTGTGGATGATGGCTACATTCATTTGTATGATGGTTTGCTTTGTGGATGATGCTTTCTTTCATTTGTATGATGGTTTGCTTTGTGGATGATGATTTCTTTCCTTCGTATGATAGTATAAGTTGTGGATGATGGCTTCTTTCATTTGTATAATTATTTGTGTTTTGTTTTTGCAGGTTTTTTCTTTCACGTCATTGTTGTGTTGTTATTGCAAGACTATTTTCAGTCTTGGAAAGCATTATATCTATGATTTCTAGTGTATGAGTGAAATAGAATGGTAGATATTGATTTAAAGGTCTAGAGATAAATATAGGTGTAACTTAGGAAGGTCCAAGGTAATATACCAGTGATCATTGTAGTTCTTATTTCTGCGGGGGCTATTTGATAATGGAATTTATAGATCCCTGAAGGAGTAGGTTGGTGAAGATGACATTTGGGCTTTGGAAAGCTAGATTTTTCGTATTTAGGAATTAAATGCAGTATCCTATACGAACACAAGTTGATGTAGTTATTGCATGTGCAATGTTGCAAAACTACATCATGATGACATGGGGAGCCAATAGTAGAAGAGAGTTGTGTTTTAGAAGGAGGGTTGAGAGTGAACTGGTAATTGACAGAGATGATGGTTTCTCGCAATTGACTCAAGGGCATGATAACGTCAGTCTGCGAGATGCCATGGCGACGCAGTTGTGGGAGTCCTACCTAAATCGCTAGAAGTTATTTCTCCCATTTATTATGTTGAAATAGCACAGTCATCATTTGATTATTTGTCAAAATTGATACAAAGGTTGTTTGGCCTTTGAAATTTGGCTATTTTCTTGGCCATGCACTATGTGGGTTTGCTTTTTCAATTATGTATGTTTAAACTATTATAGGTTATTCTTGAATAGGCTGGTTTTATATATGATATATGGATACACGAATTGTGAATGTTGCTTGACATGCAACACACATATCTTAACAAACAACATACAAATGTTGTGTGCCATTATAATCTTAGAGAGAGAGAGAGAGAGAACACACAAATGTTATGCACATGACTTGTAAATGATGTATATTTTTTAATTGTAAATGATGTATATTTTTTAAGTTGGATATGGATGCATCAGTAGTGAATGTAGGTAGTATTGAAGTTATTACAGGTTATTGTTGAATGGGCTGATTTTTTACTGCTTGCATTGTGCATGTGTGTTTGAATGGGCTGATTATGGGTTGATTTCCATGGCCAATTTGTCTATTTGATAACCTCTTTGTCTATTTGATAAGCTCTTTGTCTATTTGATGAATAATTCTCATGTTCCGTCATGATTAACATTAGAGAGATGAAATTTGGAGCCCATGTATATGTATATGTAACAGTATGATCTTTGATTCTTTATCCATTTTCTTGAGATGGTTTGTACCTGTTCATGTTGGAAGAATGGTACTTGTGGTTGAATTATGCACCTTCACAAAGTGTGTTGAAGGCATCTTTCAATAAAGTAAAACTTCTCTTCTCTCTCTCACTCGAAGGTCAAAGAAGATGAAGGAGCAAGCAGAGTGCTCTGAATCTGTGTTCTTCATCCTTTTGAAGTATGTTATTTCTTCATCTTTCTCTCTCTTTCCCTTGGATCTCTTCCTTGAGCTCTAATTCCTTGTTACTGAGCTAGATGAGTATTATAACAAGTTCTTTGCAAACTATTATTAATTGTTTTTTATTTGTATGATTTAGATATTCACTATCTTGACATTTTAGTTTGATATTTGCTTGTTTCTTGTCTAACATTGGGAACATTTTATAGGGCTAATCATTCTTTATATAAATTGAAGCTTTTTTGGGGCTAGTCATTCTTTATATAAATTCAAGCTTTTGTCCATGCAATGCTTCTTGGTAAAGGGCCCGTATGTTCAACTCCTATTTTATGTTTTGTATTTGGCAGAAAATTTTTTATTATTTGTCCATCATTGTCATGTCAACTTCTTATCGTTCCATCTGTTTCAGCTTTCCATGAGATTGAGATTGATCATGTGCTATATATATATATATATAAGCTAGCTTGATATTGTCATGGTGTTTGTGGTGAGTCAGTCATTGAGTTGAATTTGTCATATATGTATGTCTTTCTCTCTTGCAAACTACTATTATATTCTATATTCTATGCTATTCTCAACTTGTGGTTGATATGTTACAATATTTTTCTAACTTAGTTTTGTTTTTTCTTAGTTTAATTCAAGGCGATTTCTTGAATTGTTATTTTTGTTTTCTCCATGTTGTTTTCTTATTGTTAGTCTCTTTTGAAGCATAACGTTCTAAGTTTTTGTGAATTCTCTTGACTTCATTGAACAAACGATGCCTCTCTCGGCATCTTGGGGGGTGTCTATTCTTCCATATTGATTAATTTACTATGTATTGTTTTTGCAGGCGGCAAATTACCTGAACGTAAAGAATTTACTTGATAGAACTTGATTGGTGGTCGCATATCGCATCAAGGATTAGAGCGTGGAAGACGTTCAGAACATATTTGGAATTGAAAATTATTTTTCTCATGATGACGAGGATGCAGTGAGGAAGGACAATGAGTGGGCTTTTGAATGAGTCCCCCATGAATCCCAAAGTTTTTTGCTTTAGAGCCTTATTATTTCAGTAATTGGTATCAGGGTGGGTGTTTAAGTATGGTTGGATTAGTGTGAGTTGTAGATTTTATAAAGGCATTTTGCCTCTCTCTCATTATTTAGAACATTATTTAGAAAGATGTCATTGTCACAAGTAGCAGTTGATTCTTAAAGATCCCACTTTCGCAGTTGATTATTAAAGATCTCATTTATTCACAAGTAGCAGTTGATTGTTAAAGATCCCATTTATTGGTCTTTAAAAAGAGGAAGATGAATATTTACTTGGATCTGAGATAGAGTGAGATAGAGGCAGATGAATATTTACTTAGATCTGAGATAAGATCAAATAGAAGTCATTTGGATATTCATATCCTAATTGGAGCTATTTACCCCAAAAATTGGGGTACTTCATTTGACTTTTGAGAAGAGGCCTTGGGGTGCCATTAAACAAAGTCATGAGAATTTCTATTGGCTTCTTTTTACTGTAATTTTCATATAATTTTGTTGCTTTCATTCCAAATATCCATCTCGGCTTCTTTTTACTGCAATTTGCATAGAATTTTGTTGACTTCACTCCAAAGGTCCATCTTTGAGATGGATATTTTAAAAAACACAAAATGGTGTATCAAAATAACTAGAGCAAAGATGGGAAAGCCAGATTTCCCGTCCTTTGATTTGGGATGTATGTTCTATACCACATATGAATATTTGCTTGGATCTCAAAACTGAAGTTTATCAGTAAAGCTCTCTGAGTTTGCTCTATTTTCTTTAATGAGTGTATGAAGTTTCAACGATTTTCCTTGATGCGAGTATGAAATATCAGAAAATGCAACAGAGAAAATTAATAAATACGTAATGCTTTACCAGCTTTATATTTCTTTTTCTTTTTCTTTAATGAGATTGTGAAGTTTCATTGAAGGAGAGACAACGAGCTTCGATCATATGGGCTCTTGTCAACATTTTTGTTAACTTTGAAGAGTTTACATTGTTACTTTTATATTCGAGTATAGCTTAGTAGGACCAATTTGACATGAGTAGGAATTTGTATTTTTTGGCATACGAGGTATGCCTACGATTGAAACCTACAAGTTATCCCTCAAGAAAACCAAACTACTTATGAAACTTAAACACCTATTCAACTGCATATTTGTGAAAAGACTCAACAAATTGTATACTCACAATAGTTTAGAAAATATATTGATTTCTATTTTGAGACAGCTGATTAGGAAACTAGTGATTTGGTACACAATATTGAATTGAGGTTGTGCTTGACATTGTCTACAGATTACTTCAATTTTGATGTGCAATGAAGTTTATTATGCAACATCTGCCTCAATTGATGTATAAATATTTCTCTTCAGGACGGTTCTCTCACTCATCAATAAAACTCTCATAATACTCTCTACACACTTTCTCTCTCTCAATCCAATATATTTTACTTTCAATTGATATTGTATCCCAAAAAATAATATTCTACAAATCAATAATAAATAAATAATATCTAAGTCTCAATTTTAACATTTTATATCTTGCCTATTTAAAGCTAATAAAATACAAGTACCGATAACTTCTTTAACTTCCCAGGAGGTTATCAAACACAAAACCAGATCTTCTTTAACTTCCCAGGAGGTTTCAAACACATAAACCAAGAACTTCTTAATTTCGTAGGAGGTTATCAAATATAAAAACCAGGAACTTTTTAACTTCCCAGTGAGGTTATCAAATACAGAAACCATGAACTTTTTAAGTAACTTCTAATTTACAGTTCTTCAGAAACATCCAATTTACAGTTTATGAACTTGCTTCCAATTTCAAATAGGCACATAGAGAGAGAAAAATGAACGCAACTTGAGGAAGGAACTCTTCTCTATGCAGCCTTTTCTTCTCCATTCAGTTTTTTTCACCAGAAGGTCCATAACATAAAGAGGAGAGAGAAACAGAAGGAAAAGGAGAGGGAAACAGAGACGATAGGTGCAGATGCATTGAGGGCCCGTAGAGAAACACCTTTTGGCCATCGATTTCTCTTAAACTCAAGGGAGAAATGATTGTAAGCTTTACCTATCCCCTTTTGCTAACCCTAATTCTCTCTCAATCCCTTCTATTGTTCGCAAAATCGCCCGATCTAACCGCTAACCGCCTGGTTAGATCGAAACCGGTCAGTGGTTGGTTCCGGTTTTGGGCAGTTAGGATGATCAACCGATATTTAAAAAAAAGATTCAAAAAAATATATATAAATTCTCAAAACTAAGAAATTTGATTTATAATACATTTTTAAATATTCTTTACATTATGGTAAAGATTGAAAATTGTTTTGGTCATTAATACTCACGTTTATATTTTCTGATATTTTTTTTAAAAAAAAAATAGCCATCGAAAAATATAAAATGGGTTAAAATCCATTTTTTTCATTAATTTCCAACTTTATTTGAATGTGTTTTGGTTTAATCATTCTTTATATGCTTTTCATATTTTAGTAGATTTGTTTTTGTACTTTTGTTTTTTTTTTTTCAACACTTTTTTGACCGCCCGGGATATGTCCGGTCAGAGCGGTTGAATCGGCCGGTTTTTCGGTTAGGCCAGTTAAACCGCTTTCATACCCATGTCCGGTTAACCGTTCCAGTTCGATTTTGTGAACATTGCTTCCCTTCAGTCATGGCCCCCAGCTCAAGCCATTAGACCCTCTTATTTTTCGGTGCCGACTCTCAAAAATCCAGCAAGCACCTCCATTCATTAACGCCACGAAGTGTCCCGTCTTTGGCCAAAACTCACTAGGCACGGGTCAGGTCCCGGGTCCTAACCAACATTCTGAGTATGGATACGGGTCTGGGGTACTTTGGACCAATCAAGTCTAGGAATGGGTCCATATCATGCTATTCCGGTCCATGTCTGAGTCTGGGTCCGGGTCTAGCAAGGCCCGACCTGTTGCCGCCCCTAATCTCTTTCTCTCTCTAAAAGCCCAATCTCCCTCTAAAAACCCAATGTCTCACTCTCTCAAACCCAATCTTTTTCTATCTCTAAAAACCCATTAAACCCGTCCTCTCTTTCTCTCCCTAAAAACTTATTATCTCTAAAAACCCAAAACATTTCTCTCTAAAAATCCGATCTTTCTAGAAACCCAATATCCTCTCTCTAAAAATCCAATATCTCTAAAAACCTAATTTCTCTTTAAAAGCGCATTCTCTCTTTAGAAGCAATCCACTTTTCTCTCTCCAAAAATCTAATCTCTCTTACTCACTCTAGAAACCCAATCTTTTTCTCTCTAGAAATTCAATCTCTATTTCTTCTTTCTAGAAACTCACCCTTTTTGTCTCTAAGAACCCAATAAAAGTTTCTAAAAATATTTTAACATTTTTTGTCTTTTTTGGCTTTCTACAACAAAAAAAAGTTGGGAGAGTGAGATTAAAAATATAAAAAAATAATAAAGAAAAAAAAAAGAGGCTTCTTAATAAGCCTGGCCAGGTCGGGCAAGGCCTAGTCCAATATGGTCCTTACAGGGCTTCAAGTCTGGCTGTATATTACCAGGTTGGATCGGGCCCAGCCCATGGCAGCCCTAGTCAGCATCAAAATCATTTCAATGCCTAATGATTATCATGTCTCCATTTATGCCTAACTTCAGAGTCTCATTAAAATTTGTGTGCTCGCATCAATAAAGCTGCTGATTTTCTCTCTAGGGAAGTCCACCTGCTAGGCATACGTCCCCGACATAGTTCACAATATGTTTTTTTTTTTATACATGAAAGTCTTATATGTGAAAGCTTATATATATCATCTATTTTATTTGAGCAGTGTAGATTAAGCACTATTTAAAAAGACATACAATATATTGACATTATTTTAAAAGATATGTCAAATCTACACCGTCCAAATAAAATAAATGGTTATAGAATATCGCAAACTTATTTCTGTAAAAGTTAACCTTATAAAAAATGCACCCCAATATAAATAAGATACTAAGTGATTACCTCACTCAAGTCCAAATAAAATTTTTTTGAACTTTATGATACGCTTCAAGTTGTCAGATTTAAAATACCTCCTCATACTAAATCTAATTATACAATCCCCTCGAAAAAGAATATATCCCAGAAAAAAACTATTTAGTGGTGGTGCATAGAAAAAGGCCTTTAAAACCTTCAAACCAAGCACAAACACACGCTACAAGATCAAAGCGTACCCATTGAACAAGATCAAAACGTACCCATTGAAAATCCAGATGGTACAGTCGATACAAAACATTTTGAGAAACCAAAATAATCCCAAAGCTCTATATTAACACCAAATAGAAATGGGTGCGGTAGGTATAGAGCTAAGGCTCTAAAAAATCAAAATAGGGCCCACCATCAAATAGTGTCAAGAAATGTGGTATTAATATTGAAAATCTTTGTGATTGCTTTAAAATATATTTTAATCTCTAATTATAAAATTTAAAGCATCAAAAACAGGATAGATCAAACAAATCTATGAAAACTTGAAAATTGACGGTCCAAAAATGTGTTACAAGATGCTCTATTTCCAAAACTTGAAATCTATTTTTTTCTCATATTGATGTCGAGATGATCAATTTGAAAATATTTGGACATCAAAACTACTTCTAATGAAATTTTTTAGGTATGCCCTAATTTGATTGTTTAGAGCCTCGGCTCTATATAAACTTTTTCCAATAAAAATAGTTGCCAGATAGATTGTTAACAGTTTCAAAAAAAAAAAACCTCGCCCGATATCATAAGCAACAAACCTAGGAAATGTACAATGTACAGATTTTCAATTGAAACTGGAGTTCACATCACAGAACTCCAGAGAAAGGCAAATCAGGAAAGAACACCCATTTTCTCCTTACTTTTCAATTGATCAGTACAGGCCAAATCATTCCTAAACCTTCACATTAACAAACCCACAGTAATGACTACAGAAAGAAATCCACAAGAAAAAAACATTATAACGCAACCATAATCAAAGACTGCAAGGATGAGAGAAAGAGAGATTCAGAGGGTGTACAAACTCTAATCAGAGACTGCAAAATATGATAGATTGAGAGAAGAGCTTTCAGAGGGCGTTTAAGGATTTTGGCACTTGGGCCATGGAATCAGGTGGAAAGCAAGAACACGTAAGTGTAGAAGGGGTTCTCCTTTAATGGTAAAGTGGTCTTTGAGAGAGAGAGAACTTGGATTCCTCATTTATGCAAAGATAAGTTTTTGAACTAACAGAAATGAAACATAAGTTTGCACTACTTACAGAAATGAGACACCAATCCATTGCACACGCACAATCCACCCAAGCTTCCTATACCACACCTACTATCTCAGAGCTCGAGCTTCCACTATTAATGAATGCCCCTCTAAACCTGATGCTCTTCAATCCATTGCTCTACATATACTCAACTCATCTCTCCAATATATCATGGTACAGAATATCTATGGGTGAATGTGAAAAAAAGTTGAGAATTATGGTTTTGATAAAAGCTGGATGGTGGGGGCACCATAAAAAAATGATAGGAGCACTTCAACAATATCTAAGTTGATGGAAGGCTCTTTCTCTCTATCCTCTCTCTCTACAATGTCGAAGTTGATGAAAGGATCTCTCTCTCTCTCTCTCTCTCTCTCTCTCTCTCTCTCACTCGCTGTGTGTGTGCGTGCATTTACGTATGTTATTGAGCAAGGTTCCAATATATATCGCACTATGTTGGGCAGCTAATTCATTATGCTCCAAAATTTCACTGCAATTGGGCAATGATTTTCATATTGACGACTAAAACACCATATGAGCACATCCCCCTAGTTTCTAAGACATGATCATATTTCTCACTGTGAACAAGACCTTTCAGCCAGCCTGTGCCACAAGCTTATGCAGCAAAGTAAGGGGAGGTTGAATATACCATAAACCAGTGATGCCCGGTTGATTTTTCCAATTAAAGACTACTGAATATTTCAATATTTTCTTCCCTTTATAATTTGTTGGTGCACCAGAGCCCTATAAATGATGACCAAATTCCTCTTTATCCAAGCATTACAATTCAAAAAAATAGACATAAAATTAAACAAAATAGTAACAGATATTCATCTCATCTGAAACCATACATAATAATAGAAGATGATACATCACTACAAAATTACATTTTATACATGTGAAGGTCAAAATTGGAGAATTTCAGAAGCGAAGAAGAAACAAAAAAGAAAAAAAATTGCCAACAGAAATATCTATTTGTCCTCATCATGGATTCTAATCCTCATGTCAAAAACCTCACCTCATTTGAGTATGAAAAGCCATAACCCAAAGAGTTGAGACAAGAAGCTCCTTCACATCTGAGCTCCAGGACAGAAACCCTCTCTCATGTATCTTTCCTTTACATCATCTGCAAGAAAAAAGGGGAAAACCACAAAAATATTCTGAATGAAAACATTTTCAAAAAATTGATATATAATGATTATTAATTTACCGGTCTTTGTTAACTGTAAATTATCATCACAATTTGCTCAAGTGGTATTTAGTCTGGTCGAAAGTTAAAGCCCCAAAGTAGGAAATTCACAAGACCCAAGCAGCATCCAAATTAGCAATAGCTATCCATTCAAAATGAACAGGAAAAGCAACATGCTAAACAATGTTTCAAACAAAAAAAAACAGTGTGCAGTGGCAAGGTTGATAATTAAAGGAGGAAGGAAATGAAATTCTACCGGTAAGCCCAACATTATCAGTTGCTCCAAAAAACAGTACAGTATCTCCAAAATGCTCAAAAAATACGTATTTCTAAAAGTTCATTTCTTACCATTGTTGGAAACAATCAAATTTAGAAAAGCTGAGCAACTTATCCAAAACAATAGTATCCTTAGAAGAACCAATCATTTAAAACCCTTTTTCAAACTAGAAGCCCAAGATTCCTACGTACCAGTCAAATCACTTAAAATTTATGAGAAAAGTCCTATTTTATTATCAAAATTAAAAAATAGTCATGTATATTTTATATTTTATGCTCAAGTCCCAATTTTGAGAGTGTGCATTGTATTTAAATTTTCTTTTCTTTTCTATACATCGGATTGAGTTGAAACTTGGGCAGTTGACAGTTCTCACCATCTCACATTTATTAAAAAAATACCAAAAAATATTTTAAATATTCTAAGAAGGATGACGACCTTAAACTTTCCCTTAAACCCTCTGATGACCAAGTAAGGACCTTAAACTTTCCATTAACCTGTCCCATGCCCAGGTAAAAGGGCTGGGTTGTGTTAGGTAGACAGCCAATTTAAAAATTTGCCAAAACTTATCATGAATCCTAAACCTACAATATCTTGACGATGATGACCAAAAAATATTGTTTACAAAAAAGATCAAAACAACACTAAAATTTTGAATTTTTCAGGGATGATTTGGTCATTGTTATTAAACTCAATTCATCATCATCATAGCCTTTTCCCAACTATTTGGGGTCATTTATTAAACTCAATTATGTTGTTAATCTTTTCCAAGTACGTTGTGTTGAGAAGTATGGATACCCAAATAAAGGTTTAATAAAATATATTTAAATTTTTAAAATAAAAGGTATTTTTGTGTTAATTTCCCTTTTAGGAATAACAAGGTATCAAATTTTTTGTTTTTGTTTTTTTTTTGGAAGTTAGAAGATATCAAGTTATTGGCATAATAACCATAAAAACCACTGATTTCGCTTAACATAGACCAACAGACAAATTTAAATGGTGCTCACCCATCCACATTCAACTCCCTTTTATTCTGTGATGTGTAGTGCAGGCACATGCATTTAAAAAATGGCAGACGAAGCAAAATCACACAGCAAAGCTCCTAGGAACTGGCATGCCATCCACTGAGTTGTTTACATAGTTATCAAAAGTGGCCGCATAACACATTATGCGGCTGCATCGAAGTGGATGCACCCTTTGGCACAATGCATATGCAGGAAGAATCCCATGCAGCCATGCCCACAGAGCTGGCCCGAACATGGGGATGTGGGTGCTTTAGGAAGATCATCAACCTCTGCAGAGCGTAAACAAAATTAGGATTTGGATGGATGTTTGGGTTGGGGAAGCGTAGTTTTGGATTGGGGTCACAGCTTTAGCTAATCAATTCCAGCAACTCTTTTTCCTTAGCAACCATGAAGGATGGACTGATCGCAAGGTCTAAAAGCAGCTGGGGGAATGATCACAAGAAAAACTTTTAATTCTCCTCATGACTATGGTTAAAGAAATATACATGTGTACACAGGGTGACAATCTAAGGATCAAGGCAGCAAGTCCCTTGGGTGGGTTCATTGTAAAATCTTTATATGGTGTAAGCAAGTCAGACATCAGCCACTAAATTGTCAAGCAAAGCATGAGAAGTCCTTCTCCCCCAAGTGTTGAGGGATTTGGTTGGCTAGTTATCTGTGATCATAGTTGTCAGGTGCGGGTGCGTTCTTGGGAGCGGAAGCTGGCTCGGGTCCACAGAACCGTGAATTGTTGGAAGCTCCTTGTGACTGGAATCGTCGTCCGTATTATCCTATATCAAGGGAGCACGATCCTTGTCACAGGGAAGTGCGATTCCATGAGGAAAGAATCGCAATAGTATGTTTTAAGGGATCGACAATGATGCATGGATTCACAGTACCATTGGGCACAAACCTGAACCAGTGTTTATGAATCAGTGCCGAATAGAGAAAACATCATATGCACTGCATCATACACTTGAGAACTGTGGTTCAAACCTGCTAGGAACAAGGATCACAATATAGGGATCGCAGGATCGAGGTCCGAAGCGGGTTCGTGACCTTTCCTACAAGGTTCCAGCAACTATGTCTGTGATAAGGTGGTCAGCATTGATCAACTTCAGCACCAGGTTCATTGATTTGAACAGATGTATCCCTTGCAACAAAGATGCTAAATCTCTACAGCATCTATTCCTCTTCTGAGTTTACTCAAAAAGTACCGATTTCATAGCCTTGTTAAATGTCCATGGGTTTCGCCTGATTCAAATGAAAACCTATTCCAGTACTTGTTCACATTACCTCTCCCTCGCCATGGAAAAGTGCTGTGGCATATTAGGAATTGTAGTTAAGAATGTAATAGACATGTATTTCAGACCCAGTATCCTCCTTGCAATCCTTGATAAAAAAGATAAAAACTAACACCATCAATAGGGGATGTGTTTAGATTCTCTTACAAATTGGCTGGTAACAAAGATTGAAGCTCCAAGTGCCACCTGCAAGCCTCCCATATGGGTTCTACAATTTTATGGAAATTCACTTCGAACCCCTGACCCCTCTGGTTTTGGGGTTGCCTTTCGAGACAACAATGTACAATTACTCAATCATATTCCAGACCAGCAGGTATCTTCAATGCAACAAAGTAGAAGCCCTAGATCTTCTAAAGGAGTTTGATTATACAATAGAGTTTGGGCCTCTCTACACGTTAAGGGTAATTCTGATGACATGATTCAATATGCCTCTAGAAAACCCATGGCCCTTTTGGTTATGGACAAGTTAAGTAGGCATCTATAGGATAAGGTACCTTGGTGTATGTTGTTTACATATGACATAGCTTTGATTGACGATACTAGAGACGGCATCAACACAGAGTTAGCACATTGGATGAATGTAGAATCTAAAGGTTTTAAAATTAGCCAGACTAACATAAAATGCAAGTTCAGTAATAATAGGAGTAGAAACGAGGAATTAGTTAAGATTGATCGCAAAAAAGTACCTAAAAGATATTATTTTCGATATATTCAATCGATCATCCATGAGAATGGAGCAATTGAGGAAGATATCGGGTAGAGAAATAAAGTTGGGCGGGCCAAGTGGAGATGTCCTTCTAGAATCTTATGTGATTGTTATATACCAATGAAACTAAAGGGAAAAGTTCTATAGGATGCCTGTAAAAGTAATCATTTATGGAACAGAATGTTGGGCAGGGGCAGTCAAAAAACAACATAATAGAATATGTGTAGTTGAGATGTAAGGATGTTGAGATGGATGAGTAGTAAGACAATAAATGATAGAAATCGAAATAAGTACATCCAAGGGAACTTAAGGGTGGCCCCAACAGGCGATAGGATGAGGAAAAGTAACTCAACGATGTGTCCGAAAGTACTTCCCCGATGATCCCTCCTCCTGACTTCTGATCTCGGTGACAGTAAACGCATATGAACCTCTCACCCTTGATGCTTTGGCCCTTGGCCTAACTAGCGGGACGTAGTTGATGAGCTATGGTTTGTGGTCTAACCATGTGCAACGTCGACCTAGAACAGTACATCGGTTAGGAGGAGCGATTTGGTTCAAGTGGAAGGCTCTAAAATGACAAAGGAGAAGGCCCAAAAGGATATAGATGAAAGTAGATGATGATTTATGGCCTAACTGAGGGTATAGCCCTTAAGAGCGGATTGCTGAAACAGGAATCCTATATTTGAGGAAGATGATGATGATGATGATGATGTCATATATTTGCGAAGATCTTTGATAGCTTAGAAGGGGTACCAAGTTCGTTCACACATATGGCAGGATTCCCTTGTCTGATTCCCTTTGCACAAGAGGTTACCAAGTTCATTCACAAACATACAGAGGGAATCAACCCGGTGGCAAATTCCTTACATAAGAGGGAACATTCAGAATATCAGTTTTTATCTAATCAGAGACCTTATAATCTTATACCAGTGTCTCAAAAACCGCCAAGACGCCCCTAGGCAGCCAGAGGGGATTAGGTCACCCCAGTGCCTATGCGGGCGCCTAGGGATCTGGGCAGCCTAGGTTCAAAAAGGGGCAAGGGATGTCCAGGATCATGTTTTAGGTCCAAATTTTGTATAAAATAAAAGCATGAATAAAAAATGCATATAACCCAAAAAAAACACCAAAACTGCCACATGCAATGGGTATTCTTGTACCCAGGCAAAATCAAGAATCACATGAAAGAAATTAAAGTAGAAAATATAGGAAAGGTCACACACAAAACCTAAAAGTGTACCAGGGCTAAACTGTTTTAATTGACTGAATGGTGCCCAGAGAATGTCAAGGCAGGCCTCACCTCCTTCTCTTTCTGCCCTTTCCAAGCTGCCCAGACTTGAAAGCGTGCTCTTGTTCTTGGAGGAAAGCCATAGCCTTTCCATATTTCTCGGCTCTCTCCTCTTCCTCTAAAGCCTTCTCCTTTGCCTTCACTTCAAACAAGAAGTAATTGTCTTTACGGAGCTCACGGGCTGCCCCTTTGGTCTCCCTCTTCATCTGTCGCTCCAGTTTCCTTCTCTCGGCTCGCTCGCGATCTGGGTCATAATCCCTGCCTTTCACAAAGCTGCAGAACAAAAGAACCAGTTTTTTATGAAGAAAAAGCAAAAGAGCCGAATTTTGATTAAAAGAAGAGAGCAGGTTTTATTAAAAATTAATAGGTGGGTTTTGAATAGAAATAAATAGTTTGGTTATGATTCAATCAATAGCTAAGTACCCTAAAGTTAGCAAGAAACAAAATAAAATTTGTAAGGTCCTGTAAAAAAGGAGTAACAAGCACAACTATAAGTACAGACATTAAATGGCTGAAAATTTTGTCATACTGAAAAGGTACTTCTGTGAGATAAATGCTATGCTGTATTTTGATAGAAAAGTCACAACATAACTGCAGGTAATTTCGAAAATAATCAAATCCTGCTTGCAAAGTCATAGTATATTAGATATATTGTCATTCTGTAGAAGAAATTTTTCTGTGAAACTAGGGAAGCAGCAAAACAAAATCTTCAGATGTCAACATTTCTTCAAATGTAAATAGGAAAGGGTAGGCATAATTCATTCCCATGCTAGCCACGTGGAGCATCACATTGCCAGCCATTCCTTTTCCCACATGATGCATAAGTTTCAGTATTCATATAAAGACTACAGGGTGTCTCCTATTACTCAGAAAGGTAAAAGCTCAAAAAATAGTACATACTTCTCTTCAAACTTTGGGTTAAATTCCTTAATTGGCACTGGCTTCTGCTTTCTCATTTGCAGTGGTTGACGTAGCTTCTGATGTTCAATGGATTTCTCCTCTATCCGCTGAATAATTTCCTGCATGCTGCTTACCACCAAATCTGGCATATACTCTTGTTTAATCAGGTCATGTAACAGAGCTGATACCGACGAAAATATTTCAGGGAAAGAGATAAGGCCTTCATAAGTATTTATGAAGCCTCGCAAAGTTTCGGTCACAGATACAAGTATACCAGCCCTGCAGCACCAAAGCCATGGCCAGAGCAATAAGGAAACATAGAAAATACTCAAAAAAATGTCATTTCATAAATGATAAACTAAAAGACGATTGTAACACGAAAATGCATCAACTGGCTAACCTGTAACCATCAGAGCTGAAGAAGGGCGCATTAGCAGGCATATCTATTAGCCTAAATAGGTTCAAAGGCTGTAAATCACAAACATGATCAGAGAGACGAAGCCAAGGCTGCAGCATGAGTTCCATTGCACAGGTACCCTAGAAAAAAAGAAATAACATGGCATTCACTAGTTAATTATATATGCAACTTCATTTGCACAAACCGACCCTGTAACTTATGAACTTACTTCTAGCCAGGAATGCTGTTTCAACTTTTCCTTGTCATCAGCAGCTGACATTAGCAGTGCACGTAGAAAAGTGATGGCCTCAGGAAAAAACTTGTGTGATTGTTTGGCCACCTGAAGCAACAAATTAGCATATGGAGTGCCAAGCATTAGAAAAGCTTGTCATGACACCAACATTCTCAGAGGGTGACTACAGCACCTGAATTAGGGCAGTTATTTTACACTCCATAATATGGTATCCATAATTCTAGTTACAAGAAAAGGATAGGAAACAGCAGTAGTTATATATGTTAATGGCACATCCACGTGTGAGATTTAGTTCTCTAATAAGCATTCAACCCCATGCCATGCACAAGCATACAAATGTGCAAAGATGTTCAGCTATTCGTAAAATAGCTAAGATTAAAACTATCTAGTAAGTTTTCAAAAAAGAAGTAAATGCTTAAACTTCAGTTGTATTTATTGAAGTATTAATGTTGTCCATAAGTGTAAAAGATTATTTTTGAAATTAAATATTTAAACTTCAACAATATTTATTAAAATATTACTACATGTCTAACTTGACATTTTTTTGGTTATTAATACCATAAAAAAGATATCTTTCTTTATGGAACTAAGGCTTTCATTTAAGGATGTTTTAGGAACAAAATCTGACACATAGCCAATCCTCCAGACCTGCATCTAGTATACAGCTTAGATAGAATATCTATCATCACATTGACGACAAAGAAACAGTTCAAGGCATTTTAGTCTAACGCTCAGGCAAAAATGTTGAGATATATCATGGAGTTTTCTCTTTGAAATATGGCACAGAAAAATCCTATTAGAAAGCACTAGTTTCTTCATTATTATGATCTATTGAATCTATTGATCAACTTATTGTTTCAGAAAGTATGATATAGTGCTCCACTTAATGCTTCAAAATGAGCTCACAAGTGAATAAAGCATTTATTAATGTTGATTTTAACTCTATTTGGGGGAAGAAGTCAAAATTAAGTATCACATATCCATTCAACGGGCCCCAGACTTTATTAAAAAGTATCAACTCCAGAGCATAATGATTAGTTAAAGAACAAACCATCCCTAGTTGATCCAAATCCATCAGTTCCAGCTTTAGGTGTTACATATGCATCCATTGTTTGCAGCTTATAAGAACTTTTTAGTCATTCTTCTCCATGCCCTTGTAATCCATTAATGGGGTACTACAACCTTATATACTTTCTCAAGGGGCTTTTAAGGACATTCTACTTGTTCTGTTGCATTCTCTTGTGATCCATTATAGAGTACCACAGCCTTCTATAATTTCTCAAGCAAGGGACAGCAAGGTACAAGAGATTCTACTTAAGTAAGGAAAGCAACATTCATTCTGTGTAACATTATAAAACTTTCCCAAAGGTCAAAATCTTTATATGAATGCATATTACCCAACTGATTTTGAAACTGTAACAGAAATCCCTTGGAGGTATAGTACTTTCACTGCAAACTATGCCCAACCATTAGAATCCAGGATTTCATTTTCTCGGGCAAATAGGTTCAATGGAATAAGCCAGCGGCTCTTTCCATAGACTAAAAAGACAATGCTACTCCACATTACAAGAAACAATAAAAACAAACAAAGACCAAAAACAAAGGGTTCAGAGACTGCATTGACAGATTGTTCACCAGCAACAAGTACACCATTTGACATGAAGATGACAAAAAAAGTATAAGCAAGAAAACCAAGAACACATCACCAGTCTGTGTTCACCGATCAAAGCCAACAAAAAAAAAGTCATATGATATGACAAACTTACAGCTAGTATCATAGAGCATAAGAAGGTCCCGACAACGATATCTTGGCTTGATGTTACAGGACAGCGCATAAGATACTCGCTCATCAACAAGCATGCTGGTGTCATGACAACATGGGAAAAGTCGGAGCATGGATAGATCATGGACCATAGCCGCAACAGACACAGCGTCTTGAAAGATGGCCAACTATGTTTGCCTACAAGGAGGATTGGGTCTTTCAGCATAGAGAAGCAAAAGGAAAATTTAAAATTAAGAAGACAAGAAATCTCTACATAAGTCACTTTCAGAAAAATCTATAAACTCCAATTTTTGCAAAGAAAAGTTAATAATGAGGAAGACATTGACAGGACCTGTATGCTTGAGATCATCACAGAGCTGGTTTTGCATTTTTACAAGTCGTTGCTGAGCACAGATAGCTGCAAAATATGGTGTCTCTGAGTTCATTTCCATCAAAGGTCCGACCAGCAAATTGATTTTCTTGAAATTCAATGGTTTACTATTTGCAAGGACAGCAAAATATTGCAGTAGCAGACCATAAAATATCTGCATAGGACAATAACATTTCAAATATTGGGCAATCCCAAACACAGAATTCATTCTTATTGGTTTCATTGACAGAAAGAACTCTTCACCATAATTATGAGAAACCATCTGGCAGAGTATGGGCTATAATCGAATGGTCTATGGAAAACCACAGTCTTTGGAACATCACAATCCCTCTTAATGGCACTGATGGAGAAAACGAATCCACCATTGAGGTCATGCCATGCAATGATGGGTCCCATTCTAACAATCGCTGTCCATCATGTCAAGGGAGTATGATAACCCCATGGACTGCAATTTTACCTTAGTCCTATTGGTTATAATATACTTTACCAAAAAAATTCAGCAAATTAAAAGGCCATACCTGCATCTTTTTGCGATTTTCTGCAGCTAAGGTGATTGCATTGCATGCTCGAATGCGACGAATGGCCTCAATTACTTCATCGTCTGGTCTATTCTCCAATAAAGAACTCAATTCTTTGAGACTACTTGGAGCATCAATAACAAAAGGAAGATCCCCACCAGAACCCAAATTAGAATTTTTCTTCTCAGCATTTAGTCTTTGGATTTTAATATGAGTTTCATTTTTCTCTTCTTGGAAACCTTCTTCCCCAGGTGTTTCTTCTCCTTCCTTGTCACTGTGAAGATTGTCATCATCACTTTGCTCCCAGTCCTTCACAGATTGAGTGTTCCCCAAATCACTATCATCCTGGTCACTTTCGGATTCAGATACAGATGACTCATCTTCGCTTTCGCTCTCATCATGTTCTTTCCCTTCAAGAATCTCATCAACCCAGCCTCTTTTGGGAGTTTCCTCTTCATGTTCAAAGGAATCCCCAAGGTCATCACCTGAAATAGATTTCAACTTCCTTGAAGATGATGTATCAAATTCTTCATCACCACTATCATCTTCAATGTCAGAGTCTCCAGTCGGAAGCATCCTTTTCTTTCGCGCCTCCTGGAGAAGTTTTAAACGTTCAAAAGTTAAAACGCCTGCTTTAATGACTCGTAATCCCAATGGTGGATGTTAGTGGAAAGAGAGTACAACCAATCATTAGCACATGTAATGCTCTGGTGAGTCACACTCTCTACATCACCCTCCATCATTTCAACAGATCGCATTGACCCAATAGACTGGGAATCAGGCTTGGGCTAGAGTGTTAGCACTTGACCTTAGCAACACTGCATCTCAAGTTCGATTCCCACCACCGAACAACACCCAAAAAAAAAAAAGTAAAACAAAAGACCCAATAGACTATGGTTTTCGCATAGGCCACAGGATTATAGTACACTGCTCCTTATGAGAATTCAGGTCTATAACGGCCGTAACCCAGTGGTGGTCCCACCTGTGCAGGGTCCCAAGAGGGGTGAGATGGAGACAGTCCTAAACCTTGGCTTTTTATGCACAAAGTGGCCGCTCTCAGGACTCAAACCCCGCTGTTGCGCTGACTACCTGAGCATTGTACTGGCACACCAAGTGACGGCCCCTCAGGTCTATATTTTACCTAGGGAAAATATCCTATTATCCCCTATTTTTAACTTCTATATCTCATTAGACCCAAGAATTGAAAATATTACTTGTAAACAAAAGGACTCCATCTTTTCTATCTTCCAACCCCCTAAACCCTTTTCACCAAGTATTATTGACCTCAACAACTTATGAAATGACTCTATCTCTCTCTCTCTAAAACTCTATCTCTCTCACATCATCGTCTCTCTCTCAAAACTCCATCTCCCTATAAAACCCAAAGTCCATCTCTCTCTCACATCATCATCTCTCTCTCCCTAAAACTCAAACTCCATCTCTCTCTCTAAAATTTCATCTCTCTCTAAAATCCAAACTCCATCTCTCTCTCTCCCTAAAACTCCATCTCTCTCTCACACATAAGAAGGTGTGCTCGTGCTCATGTTCGAGCTCAAGCTAAACCCCTTGGTTGGTAAACTCACCGAGAAGCAAAGAGAGAGAGATGGAGTTTTAGAGAGAGAGATGGAGTTTTAGAGGGAGAGAGATGGAGTTTGAATAGGGTGTCATTTCAGTATTTGTTTGGGTCAAAAATTTATGGTCAAAGGTGTCCAAAAGGTTGTAGGATAGAAAAGATAGAGACCTTTTGCTTATAAGTAATATTTTCAATTCTTGGGTCTCATGAGATATGAAAGTTAGGGGATAAGGAGATATTTTCCCTTTTACCTAAAGCACATTAATTATCAAAATTAAGACTACGAAAAGACACTAGATTCTCTAAGGAAAAAAAAACATAAATATACCTCCAGGGATATCAGGCATTGTCTCTCTTCTTCAGCTATCTCTTCAGGAGTTTTGGTCCTATCAGACGGTCGAGCACGCATATCCAATGCCATCGATTTAACAAGCTTGTCATATGGATCAACTTCATCCTGACACCAGAAAATACACGATGTCCTGAATGCTTCTAATCATTTATTTGGATTCTAAGGATAAATGTCGTACATATGATGAGTATTAGATCCCAAATGTCAGTTGCTTAATAGTGAGATTTTGAAAAACCAATCAACAAGATTATATATAAGAAGATTATCCCATTGCATAAGAGGCCTCATTCACTGCACACATGCAATGAAAATTTTAGTAGGGCAACTTAAGATCTTAAGCATGCACAAACCAAACATATTTTCAGATTTGTTAGGTGGCAATGTAAATTCAATTCTTTTCTATTTTTCTTGCGGATGCAAAATTCAATTCTTTTCTAGAAACTGCATTGACAAAGCCAAAAAATGAATAAAGATCAGTTGCAAAACCACTAAGCATTTCCCGGAGGAAAGTAAGTGATGGATACAATGAAAAGCATACAGTTCCTCAAGTAGAGAACAGGATAGAACATTGTCTCCTTGAACAGACAGAAAAATATCCTGTCAACAGAAATGATGTATAACAAAAAACATTTATCACAGCAACTCTCAATCAGAAAGGCATAGCTAGAAATAGAAAAATAGCCAGGTCTATATTCTACAAAGGAGGTTACGAAGAAAAGTATCTGGTTGCAGTAAACAATTCTTTTACTTTTAAAAAAAAAACGGGTTTCCTAAGTTTCCTAAGTTATAGACTTAGGATCAGAAAATATCAGCTAAAAGCATGAAGTTCAAGAGATGTAAAGCAAATCAATCCAAAGACCACATATTAGGAGTTTGTGCAAATCAATGGAAATGATTAGTTTTTCCATTGATTCATGCAACCCAAGGAACAGAAAAACAAATTTGGCAAATCCATCAGCCAGATTCTTGGCTTCACAAATCTCATGACCAATATGAAAGCCTTTAACTACTCAAAAAAGAGTTCAGATAATTCATTACAATCTTCCAAACAGAAATCTGCAAGCCTTACTTGAGACATAACAATAATGAAGGAACCACCATCCAAAATATGGCAATGAAACTCAACCAATGATATCCAACTAACAATGCCACACGATTAGTCATAAATGTAAAAATCACCGACACATTTGTTGCGTTACCTCCTTGGGAACTTCGGCAGCACAGGAAGACAACTTTTCCTTTCCTAATTCTCTCGAGCTACTCTTATTCAGAATGGCCTTCAAGGCTTGCATCTTCGTTGGTTGAAGTAAAGAAAGAAACCCATCTGATTGTGCCAAGGAAGTAAAGTCTGTATTTAATTTATCCATCAGATTCTCATCATCTTCTTTCTGCTGCGCTTTCTCAGCCTAAAATGATGAACACTATTCCATTAGCAAAACTCAGTCCTTTACTATAGGAATTCATAATTGCGCACTGGTTTTGTAAACAACGTATATGTTTGCATTGTATACTAAAAAAGACCCCTTGTTGAGAAAAGAAGATGATGGAAAGCTCCTCTGAGGAAAAAAATAAAAATAAAAGCAAGCATTTGAATTACAAATAGAGAATTATCAATGCAAACGAGAGAGAGAGAGAGAGAGAGAGAGAGAAGGTGGATTTGGTGCAGGAAAAAACAAGCATTCAAAATAACCAGCCCAAATGTTATGTGATATGAACATCATTGATTTAACCCTCTAACTGCCAAAGAAGACACCAAAAAAAATTTAAAAATACAATTAAAATTAAATAAAGCTTCAAATAAAACAGTATCTGCAAATTGATTGCAACGTCAAGATTCCCTGATCTGTAATTGATTATTTCATTGACCAGTAAACCCCTGAATGGCAAGCCATTGCCTCAGGACCTTCCTGTGGCACCTTCAAATGGCATCACATCAGGACATTCAGTTTTATCCCCTATATATGTTCATGCATACATACATACATACATACATACATACATAATACATCATGTGTGTGTGTATAAAGCCCTGAATAGCAAGCCATTGCCTCAGAACATTACTAACGCACCTTCGAATGGATCACATTAGGCTATTCAGTTTGAAGGCACACACACAAGTGCGCCCGGACACACACAGATGCACAGGCGTGCGCACTGGGATTACTCAATCTGATCTCAAGGCAAACAGAAATTTTAACTCAACCCCCAAACAAATAAACTTCAAATATTGGCCAATTCATTATGCAACAGTTTGAAGGGACACCAAGATGCCTCATCATGTATCATGTGTTACCTTGTAAAATTTACTCTTTGAGATTATCTCCTCCATGACTTCCTTTCTGGTTTTCTGCCTCTGCATGATGAATCCAATGCACAAAGTCAGATGATCTGACAATTCTTTTCTGTATCACGTTGAAAATGAACAGAATGACTGCAAACGGAGATAAGTTAAACCACCAACTGAAACATACTGAAAATATTTTTTAACTTGTTAACATCTCATGAGAGCAATTCACAACTGCTGCCAATAATAATACAATCAGGTCCATGGAAGTAATCTGAGGATGGTAACACCAAAAAAAACAAAAGGAACAAATTTGAGATTTCCCCACCAGAAGAAAAGAAAAAACATACCATTGAATTCCTACAGAATACACTGTACATAAACTTCGAGTCAAGGATTATCCAAAAAGAAAAAAGAAAGCAAACAACAAGGGATTTGCTGAAGGACAGAATAAGGTCTTGGAATGGGGAGACAACAAAAGGATAATTTTATGATATCATTTACTGTCAAAGATCTTGGCTATCAGAAGCTCCTAATACATACGATTTTTAGACCAATCCAAAAAAGCACCTACAAAGCACTGATTACAAAAAGGGAGCACAGCCGCTATTAGAAGATTCCAGTAAGTAAGTTCCAAATGCACAATACATAAAACAACAAGCATAAAATCAAAATGAATAAAATTGAAAATGGATGCTTCGCTAAACAAAATGAATAAGAAAATAACTGAAGCATCAGCACTGCACATTAAAAAGAAAAAGAGCAATCAAAGAAGTAAAGAAATAAAGCATTGGTGTGAGGCTTTATCTTTGGAAATGTCAATCACTAATAAAAGTACATCGAATAAAAACCAAACATCGATTAATAACAAATAAGGAACAGAAACACCTATTAACACATAAAAGGTGTTCTTTCTTGGTGGTGATAACACATAAAAAGGTTTGGGAATCTATAAACAATGAGTAAGGAAAAATAAAAAGACTTGGCCACTTGAGGAAGGTATAAACGATCTTACATTTTCATCTTCCGGCAGGGAACTCATTTCCAAAGGGGTGCGTTCATTATTCTGATGAATGCTAATGTTTGCATCTTCTGTAGCAAAAACACAAGATCAAAGAATATAGGAAGTCATAGATTCCAAAAACCGGTCCACAAGCTTGTAGCTAACCATACTTGGATTTTTAAAAATAGGATATAGAGTGTTTTAGAAGTTACAGCATGTTTTCAATTGGTTTTTTATGGATATATCAACAACTAGCTCCATTCATATCCTCTAGCACTAGCACATTGCCAGGCCCTCCTCAAGATATGAGGGAAAAAGATATAAAGGGCACTGCTAATGTGGGCTCATAATCCACATTCAGATAAGTGATGCTCTATAAGCAGGGAGGCCCAAGAACTACTAAAAACTACACTCTAAGCCCCATCAAGAGGAATTCATTCCCATTACAGTCAAGCCACAACACCAGTTGGAACTAGGAAAACATTTCATAAGACCCCAAACTGTCAAAGGAATGCCAACCACACCTGAGCAGCTTCCTAGAAGAGTTAATGTCAAAATTCAGTTTCTTGAAGACATTGGAAAGGGAAACACAAGGAGCAACAGGGAAACACAAGAAGCAACAGTTTCAATAGGCAGCCTCTCTATAAAAAATCAATGGCCAGTTGTAGTCCATATCCTGCACCCTAGGACCACAAAGATCCTCCTTCACTGAGGCCCATGAAACACTGCACCTTGAATCCTAGTAGCAATGATCTCGAGGCTTACGTGGACTCCCTTGGTCAGGGGACTCCAAGTGCCCCACAAGATTAGAAGGAACCAAAGAGGCCAAACCTAAACCCCTTTCAATGGTGGAAAGGGTGTGACAGATGAAAGTACTAATACCAACAAAAGAAGCATCAACCAGCCAACGCAAGAGAAATTTAAAAAGAAAACCCAGTGTCTCTACCAGTGGAAAAGCTCCTTTCAAGTCAAGAAACTCACCCGAGTCAACTCAAACTGTCAAATGGGTGAATTGTATAAATAAAAAAACTCAGGGTAAGTAGAACTTTTGCTTATGTAATTTTATTCCTTAATTTGACAAACCCATTGCCTCTTCCAGTGCGGTAACATTGTGGAATGTCCTAGACAAGGAGCTGTGTTTCACACAAGTTCTATGAGTTTTTCCAAGTTAACTGTTTGACTCACTTGCCCAAAAAAAAAAACAAAATGTTAACTGTTTATCTAGGCGAGTGGAATTGATTTTGCCATTGATCAACTTGGCCACCAAGTTCGAGCTTTTGAACAACAGTCTAAAGACTCTCTAGTCTCTACACACATAATCATCACAGATCCTCTTTTTATCTCTCTCATTTTTTTCTTTGGAGGGGGCTAAGCAGTAACTATCACTGATCCTCAAGAATGGGAAGCTAAAAGTCCACATGAAGAAACAGCTTAATCATGCAGAGCTTTAAAACATTTGCTGGATAATTATAAAGCATACCTCCAGTTGCATCCTCATCACCATCCTCTGAAATTTGATCCTCAAAATCATCGTGTGTTGACAAAGCCCCAGTAGGGGGAATTGCCAAATCATCAACTTCTCCATCAGATAGGTTATATCTGCTCTTCCGTTTCAATTGTGTCTAGGATAAACATGAGAAGTAGAACAGATCAGCAGCAATTAAACATAAGAGAGTTCAATTGGTCAATTTGGAGCACGAGATATATGTGCTCTCCCACTATAATTGTATCTAGCAGACAACATGAGAAAGAAAACATATCAAGATAGCTACAACTTACAACAGTTTTATCAATTGAATTACACCACAAAGGGAAAGTAATTATTAACTGTACAGCTAAGATTCTAATGTCCAGTTTATATCAATCCTTTAGGTGTATTCGTTTTAGTACAATTGTAGAATACAAGCAAAAGAAATTCCTTTTCAGCAGCTATTCTTGTTTAGCCACTATTTGCTGCGTTTTCACAAAAGCAGGGTTCAAAAAGCACAAGAACAAGCGTGGGTGGAAGATTTGCAGCACTAGCATATCAAAAACAGTAGAACTATCATTTAACGGTCCATCCAAACTGGGCCTAATTAGACATTGCGTAAGAATTTTAGATATAAAATCATAAAAGACATCATATATAAAAACATGTACGTTGAGACATTTTAACCACCAAATATTACACCATCCAAAAGCCAGAAATATTTTAGATATCCAGACATAGATGACCTAAAGAATATTGAATATATTACCAAATAAGATATTCCCCAGCTAGGGCTATCAAAATGTATTCTAAGAAAACAAGCTTGGTTTTATGCTAAGGAGGTCAATAATTTAGGCTATTTTCCTACTTAAGCAATTCATTGAGAAGTTTAAGGAGAAGAGAAAAGACCTCCACATGATCTTTATTGATTTAGAGAAAGTATAAAATAGAATACTTAGAGAACTAATTTGGTGGGTATTAAAAACAAAGGAGTTTCTAGAGGATATATTGAAATAGTGAGAGACATATATGAGAGAGTGCTAACTAGTGTGAGGACAACTAGTGGAGAGACAAGTGAGTTTTTAGCGATAGTAGGCCTAAATCAGGGGTCAGCATTGAGCCCATATCCATTTGTTTTTCTTATGGAGGAGTTAACTAGACACCTACAGGTTAAGGTACAATATGTGTGTTATTTGCAGATGACATAGCTTTGATTGATGAGACAAGAGACAACGTCATTGCGGAGTTAGAACTTTAGAAAGATGCTTTAGAATCTAAAATTTTAAAATTAACTGGATTAAAACAAAATATATGGAACGCAAGTTAGTAATAATAGAAATAGAAACAAGGAATTTATTAAGATTGATCGCCAAGAAATACCTAAAAGGTATTATTTTTTATATCGTGGGTCAATAATCCATGAGAGTGAATCAATGGAAGAAGATGTCGCACATAGAATTTGAGTTGGGTGGACGAAATGGAGATGTGCATCCGAACTCTTGTGTGATCATCACATATCAATGAAACTGAAAAGGAAGTTCTATAGGATGGCTGTAAGACCAACCATTTTTCATGGGATGAAATGTTAGGCAGTCGAGAAATAACATATCTATAGAGTGAGTGAAGTTCAGATGGGGACGTTGACATGGATAAGTAGCAAGACAAAACATGATAGAATTCGGAATAAATACATCCAAGGGAGCTTGGGGGTAGCTCTAATATAAGATAAAATGAAGAAAAGTAGACTTGGGTGGTCTGGCCATGTGTAGCATCGACCTGGAAGAGCACCGGTTAAGATGAGTGATGTGGTTCAAGTGGAAGGCTCTAAAAGAGCACAGGAAAGGCCCAAAAGGACATGGATGGAAGTAGTGAAAAGAGATATGTTGACTTATGGTCTGATTGAGGGTATGGTCCTTCATAGAGCAAGATGGCAGAATAAGATTCGTGTAGTCGACCCCAATTAGTTGGGATAAGGCTCAGATGATAATGACAATGATGATGATGAATGTATCAATGAAACAAAAACTAGAAGGAGAGAACTCAGAACCACATAATTATTAAAGGATTATCTTCATCCACTTGAAACAATCCATGCTCTTCATGTAGTGTCAACAACAACATCTCAGACTTCAAACCTGCAGTCACTTATATACTTTATGAACGAAAATAGGGGGCCACAATGCATCATTTCTACAATCTATATGCATAATTAGCTATTGTGTATGTTTTTATTCCTTTCTAATGACAGAAATTTAGACCAACTAGAATGAAAAATAATAATAAAGAAAATGCTTCAACTTATCACCTGTCGCTCACGCTGAAAACGTAAGATGGCTTTGTCAAACTCTCCAAGATTTTCATCACGTTCCCCAATACGCTTATCCAAAAAAATAGACGACTTGCCACTTTGCTTATACTCCTTTAGCAGAGTTTTCTTGCGCTGTTCAATTACAAGTCCAACATGAGGTTTAAACTAAGAAAGCATATAGGTCGTTTTCCTCTGGTAGACAACTCTTTGAAAGTCCCATATACCAAGGACTAGTCAGAGCAAACATTCGATAGCTAATGTTTGATAAAAATAATGAGGAATAAATGGACACAAACAAAAATTGTGAATCCTAAGAACTTAATGAAGGAAAGCATATTCAAATACTGCCATATGGAAAACCATACTCCTTTAGGTCATCACCATCCAAAGAAATGATGTATAATGATAGAAAGGAAGTGGGATCCAACATTGGTATCACGTACATGCAAAATCGCGCTCTCTCTCCATCATTTCATTGGACATTGATGATATGTAGGACCATGATTTACAATTATCATTTACATTGTACATACTTCCTATTTAAAGAACAAAAAGGCTGTTATACGAGGGCTATGCAACAAATTTAGCATAAACCACGAAAAATGAGGAGTATAGATAATACATTTATACCAATGTTCACTCACGTCTCGCCTCGGAATCGGCCCTGGCCTGAGGCAAGTAGCTCAGCCAAGTCTGAGTAGACTCGGCTTAGTAGACTACAGGGCCCAAAGGGCCCCAAAAATAAAAAAATAAAAATATCAAAAGAAGATAAAAATAACATAAAAATTGTAAAAGTGAGAAAAAACCAAAGGCAAAATAAAAAGTCCGAAAAAGCTTAAAAACCCACAAATCATTGTAAGCATATAGAATTTTCATACATTGATTCCACATTTTTACATATTTTTACTATTCTTTTTAAAAAAATTAAGTAGCCCAAGTTGGGCCCGAATACTTGGCTCGGCAAGGAGCTGAGTACAAGTATCTAAAAGCCGAGTCTGAGTGGACTCAGCCAAGTTCTCAATCATTGATTCATATACATAAGGTCAATCATTCAAAAACCCAAACAGAAGCAAATACCCAACTTCGATTGTAAAGGTAGTGTCTTTGAAGCAGTAAATTCTGATAATAAGGACTAAATGAAGAATAAAGCACAGACATAGGTCTTCAACAATGTAAGGAGTAAGTTCTTTGCTTTTTTGATAGATATAAGATAAGTAATTTCCATGAAATAAAATGAATGTCTAATCTGAATCTGAATAGGAAGAAAAACCAATGCGTTATTTAGAACAAAACTTTATGCTGTAATTAATTAATTAGCAGTAAATAATGAAGCAACATATTTTCTTTCAAAACCCAGTTTATGCAATCACACACAGATATATATATATATATATATATATATAGATAGAGAGAGAGAGAGAAGAAAGAAAAAACGAAAGTAAATATACTACTTAGTATAGA